AAATTACTCTCTGAGCAAGGGAATCATCTTCATCACGACCCGTTCAAGTACAGCAGGAAATCTGAGTGGCAATCAGCGTCTCCGTTCCCCTACACCGTCCGAGTTCTGGGTAAACCCTGTCCGCCCTCCACCGAGTCAGACAAACTCTGGAAAACCAACACACAGATTGGAGTAAAGGATCCTTCACTTCTCTGGAAACGTGAGTCAACAGTCATCAGATCCTCTCCTTCAAGATCAACGAATCAAATTTCCCACTGAGCCTGAACTAACAGTCTGTCTTCCCCTCATCTTCCAGTTCCGGCCGAGCAGAGTTCAGAGCAACTTTGCACCGAGCTTAACTTCTTCAATAAAATCCGTCAAACTTTTCATCTGTGTCTCTCTGTTTGGTTTTCGCTGCATGTGGGTCCGAGCCTTAGATAAATCATGACAGTGTGGGTATTCGGTTCCCGTTCTCTTACAAGCTACTGCGATAAATGTCAAAGACTTTGTTTGTCTTTTGTTCTTGAATCTTTTTTAGTTCAAGCCGTCTCATAGTGAAGGATTTTTGAGCCTACCTCATGTTGTTAGACAAGTTCTATTTCACTGAGTTCTGGCCGTAATCCAAATTCTGTTGAATTTCAGAAAAAAATATTCCTGATTTAACAAGCAGGTAAATTATTTATTCAAATAGAGTCAGTTTGGTTTAATAATCTTGAAAATAATTTGAATTATTATTATTTGGAAAAATTAAAAAAAACAAAAATTAGTGAAAAGTCCCTGCAATCATTTATCCTACAATAACTTGTATATTAGGGGATTTTTTTTTTTATCATGAGACTCGAATGGATGTTAACCTAACTATACATAATATTTTTTATGGTAACATTCCTATAATTCTCTTCTTTTTGTCATGCACTTTAAGAAATTGCAGTCCGTCCTGTCTAATCTCTGCTTCCTATCTTTCCTTTCACCAGAAGCCTGGATCCTCCTGAATGCAGCAAACTTTTTAACGGCCATCACTGTGTGCAAACAAACCACCTTGCTTTCCTGCCAGCAACAACCATTAAGGTCTCCAATCCAAGCTTTTCTCTGGCCATAAGAAGGGGAGGTATAGAAAAAGAGTGTGGGGGAGAGGGGCAGACTAAAGGTCAGTAAGGGTTCATTAAAGTGGAGACTTGACCGTGGAGGTGTTAGAGGGGGCCTGAACAGCAACGTTCACCCACACTCACAGGCATAAACCAGAGTCCTTAAAAGGAGGCAGGCCTAGGGTGGGATATAAAAAGTGAAACCAGTTGCACATCAAAGCAATCAGCCACGCTAGCTTACGGGGTTTCAAGTTAAAACCCAGACTGAGTCTGGGTGAAGCCGCAGCAGAACTGGGTTATGGGAAGAATCTGTTTAAAAATACATCACAAGCTGTCTGCGCTGCAGAGACGGCAAACAGGCAGAGAGCTGTGCTCCCAACAACACTGACCTACATGTGCTGAAGCAAGCGGAGCCACAAAACAAAAGTGATAAAGAGAAGGTGTCAGGAATAATATCGTTCATCTCCCATCATCTTGTCATTCCTCTCTGTCCTTAGAATAAACTGTCTCACCGTGACTTAAAGCTGCAGGGGCCAACCTCCCTCCCTCTCTTTTTCTCTGCTTCTCACCTTTTAGAAACCATCTTCACTCCCTCATCCTATTTCATTTTTTTTAAATCAATTCTCAAGTAAAGCTACCATCTCTGCTTTCATTTTCAAACTATGTCTTGCATTAAATGGATTCTTTCTTCTCTTCTCACATTAAGGATAAAGCCTTAAATAAACAGTTTATTAGATGAGCTTTAATCTGATGTGACAGGTTTACTGCTATTTTAATGTGGATTAATTTAACTAATTTAAATCAATGTAGATGAAAAGGAATTGCTTTAGATACCATGCAATGCAAAATCCCAGTTGGAAAAGAAACAGGCCCACAGCATCACAACTCCTCCACCGTGCTTATCAGTGCGCATTCATCAATCTGCCCCCTGCACCACCTAACCCCTGCACCCCCCTTGAACCCAGAAAACATTTTTATAAACATGGATTTTTCCTCCTCCAACAGAATGAATGCTCTCAAATTAATCAGAGACGTTTTCTATGTGTGGCATTATGCTGATGCACTGAAAGATTAATTCAAGGCTTTTCACACATCGTCATTAAAGTTCAAACAAAGGAGGATGATGCTGTACATATAAGCTGGAACTGGCAGAATAATCATTTCTAAGAAACCATCAATAATTGAGAAGTCTTCTAGCAAACCCACCATCCTGACATGGTGAAGTCACGGTACAGCATCCTCTTCCCCACCTCCTTCCTCTGCACTCTCCTCGGGAACTCCAGATGTGTGAACTCGTTTCCCAACAAGTGCGGCTGCATGTAGGCCTTAAAACAAGACAAAAGAAAAGGCTTAAAGTGTAAAAGCCATATCCCAGGGATTAGATATACAATCCCAAAATTGATGATATTATTTCCGTTGATAATAAATCCCCAGTTATAACTAGGGATGCACGATATAATCGGCACCCTATCGGTATCGGCTTTAAAACGGAATATCGG